TATAACATTAAGCTAATTTGCCAATTATACAACCACTCTTTTTGAATTGTGGTTGTTATTGTTGATTGCATTACATCTAGACATGTTTCTATGTCTCATATGTTACATTTTTTAAATGTTTATGAATCTTACAATATGAAAAATAAGCTCTTTGAGTACAATGCCACGCATTATAAACACATACCCTGCTGTACAATTCTGTCACTTTTATCAGCACACTAATCAAAGTCACAGTAGCCAAATACTTTATTAAAAGTATTTATGCCATGTTTCGAAAACAACAACTCAGTCCAAAGTGTCCTTCACATGTGTCAATATCCTCTAAGTTGCAAAAACTAAATTGGAATACAATTCTTAAAGCTTACAAAGATACTAACTATGCAGGGTAAATAGTTGATTGGAGATCCTCTACTTGATGTTGTACCTTTCTTGGAGGAAACTCGTAACTTGTAAAGTAAAAAGGCTTAATATTGTGGCTCAATGTAGTGCTGAAGCCGAGTTCCAATCCATGGGACAAGGAATTTGTGAAATGCTTTGATTGGAAATTAAATTATCTTAGAAAGCTTAAACATTAAATGGGATGCACCGACCTATAAAGCTCTATTGTGATAATAAGTGATCAATATAGCTTAGAATCCTTTTCAGTATGATAAAAAAAAAACACAACGAAGTGGATAGGCATTTTAATAAGGAAAAGCTTAATTGCAATTTAATTTGTACTCCATATGTACCTTCACAAGGCAATTTGCAGATATTCCAAAAGTATTTTAAAAGGATTTTTAGATGGATCTTATGTTATTGTGAAGATGAAGCCAGGTATCGTAGCAAGTTTCAAAGATTTTATTTCATGTTAAGTGTAGATAGGATAAACGTAACCCGATATTCAAGAATCTACAATATGACAACAATTATAGCCCAATAATTAAGGCGTACATTATGTAGTTACAATTAACATGCATAGTTTTTCAAACTCAGTTAAAAGCAACTTATCTATCATCTACCGAGAAATTGGAGTGCAACAAAAACAGTGAATGCACAAATGAAAGGTTCTTAAGAAAGTGTTATAACCTTAATTTGTCAGAAGGACCAAACCGACGCTTAAAGGCAAAAGATGGGGCATTTGAAGGAAGAGAAAGTATTGGAAGAAATGACATTTCATCGTCCTGCATTTATTTAAACATTCAACAGTAGGCACAAGGTAGTATCTGACAACCAAATACAAATGATGGGCAAATAATTGATTCCCTAGGCGATAAACTTATGATATATACGAAGAACAACACTGTATTATAATTTACACAACTGAAAATACAAAATTTTGTAGGTCTCACTCAAGATTTCATAGTTCCAAAAAAATTTAACCACTAATTAAGTCTTAGAAGAAGCATGGAGAGTGTGTTGTCAGCACTTCCCTTTTGTCAGGATAACAATGATTGGGAAGTAAGTTGTAATGCTCCACAAACAATAATCCTAAAACCAGGAAAGTACCTTATAGCAGTATCTTAATTTCACTTCTTCATCTTTGTACTGGGCAGAGCAGACTCCACTCAAAAATTGTCCTTTAAGAATCCCACTGACTGACAACAAAGACTTGACCTCCTCCTCTTCTTTCTCTTGCAGAGAAACTTCACCAAGCGGAAATCTTAAGGTTGCTTTCGGCTGCGGTAGAATTCAAACAAGAAAAGGATGATATATAATAGTAGTATTGTGTTTTTGCGTTTTGTGTTCCAAGATAAGATGATTGGTAATACATACCAATCCAACGGATGGAACTGGAGTTGATAGTTGAAGTGAATAGCCAGGATGGGCGAAGTTTGCAAGCATGGTAACCTCTCCTTGTTGAGCCTTAGGAGAAGAAAGAAGAGAGACATGAGAATGTAAAGAATTAAAAGAATGGGAGATGCAGAGGCAGAAATAAGACCTTGACATCGTGAGCAGCAGTGAGTTGCAATCTGGGACCAACATCGAGAGAAGTCTTAACGAGAGCATTATGGTCTTCAAGGTCGTAGTGGAGGCTAAGGTGTTTGGATACAAAGCCGATTTGGGGTTCGGAGATGTCGCCTTTGCCACTGTGGTTGAATGAAAACTTGAACTTGGCAAGGCTGTCCAACAACTTGCAAGAAATTTTATGGAAGAAGATTGCGCTTTCACTGTCGAACTCGGATGTAACTCTGAGGGTTGGTCTCCTCGGAAATGAGAAGAGATTTCGCTTACAGTTGTGAGTTGATGTCACTGCCAGAGGCAACTGTGACTGTGGCTCAACCGCCGCGGGTGCTCCTGCGGATGGGACCATGATATAATTAGGGTTTCCAGCTGCCGATTCCATCTCCAACCTCCTATTCTCTGTAGTTACCGTGAGAGCCACTACCTTCTACACCTCTATTTCTAGGGTCACCTGCCACTGCTAAGTGCTAAGGTTTTTGTATCGAACCAATATTCTATCCCCATCAGATTGTTCCCATGCCCGGTTCATAAAAAATAAAATATAATCTGATAGTCTTCATACCTTTTTCTGTCATGAATTATTTTATTTTGGACTTGCATTGGCTAAAAGAACTTAAATTAAGCTTTAATAAGAATTTCATAATTTCCTTTTTTTTTCTCTCTTATTCAAGTACTATTTTCTTAAATAACGGATCATGGTACCGTAATTAATAAAAAATAATTAAAGAATATAAATTTCAAATTTTTAATACAACACCTTTTAATAAAATTTAAGTAAAAATATTAAAAATATGATACAGACTTAAAATTTAATTAAGTTATTTTTTATTTTCTAAAAATAAACATGTAAAACAATATCTATATCACTTTTAAATTAACTGCAAAGTGACAATTACTCGTATCTAAATTTTGAATACGTTAATAAAATATTTTTAATAGAAATTTAATTAAAAGTAATTAAGTTTATTATTAAATTAAATCTTAATTAAGCTATTTCAATATTTTTCTATTTTAGGTCTTTGCTTCTTGAAAAGTGAAAAAAATGAATACAAATTTTAAAAGGCGCCAAACTGATTATATTTTCAAACCATGAGATATGTGAATTGAAATTATAATAACAGATTATTTTATCATATTAACATTTGTTTTATTTTAATTTATTTTAGTTTTATCATAGTAAAAAATTTAAATTGTGCTTTTATCATGGAAACCCAACTATATTATTTGTTGCCATTATAGGGAGATATTTAGGTATTAAATAAAAGATAAAATTTTCTTTTTTATTTTTTTTATTTTTATTCACATGTTTCTGTAATTTGATTTTATTACTTACAAGCATCGTATTATTTTTAGATTGTTCCTTGTTTTATTTTTATAGACATCTTTCTATATTTGATTCCATTACTTATAAGCATCATATGAACATTTAGGTAATAATTTTTGTACTGACATAATTTTATAATTTTAGATGTTTCAATTCAAAGATAAAAAAGAAAGTAACATAATTTGAACATATTTTTTATTTTTTTTTATTTTCATATTTTCATCACTTTATTTTATTAATTTTTTATTATATACTTATTTGATGTTTATGTAGTAATTACAATCAATTAATTTGTTATTTGGGTTGTTTTGAATTGAGAAGATGAAGTTTAGAAAATAAAGGAGGAAATGGAGATGTTGGGTGCTTTTGGAGATGAGCACATAGAGATGGAGGGAGAAATGGAATGGGGTGTTGTGTTAATGATGAATATAATGGAGGTGTTGAAGAATCTGATCCATGTGAAGTGTAAAGAATGGAGGAAAAATAAAAGTTAGAGAGGGTGATGTTTGAGTGTAGATGGATATCGAGGATACGACGAAGATAAAGGTAGATGGTGATATTTGAATAGGATGATGGTGGGAGATGGATTTGAGAGAAAAAAAGTGGAGAAAAAGAAAAATGGAAGAAAAAATGTTATTTGTGAATTTGAGCCATATGATTAACACAAGTGTTAGAACTTCCTTCTAATCCAACATTAATATGTGTATTATTGACTTTACTTATCAATCTTATTTGTTTAGTAATTATACGATAGATTTTTTTTATATTAGCTTGTCTTTTCTTTTGTTTGTGTCTTCTCATATTATTATTTTTTTTTTTTGCAATCACTTTTATAGTGTAAGTAAGTGAGGAAGCAAAAATTGAGCTACTTCTAGAAAGAGGTGATGATGTAACTATGTAGTTTAGGATTTCAATTTTTTGTTTAAAACTCTTTTAAAATACTTATTTTATATTTGATTCATACTTTCCTTACCTTTGTAAATAAATTCTAGATTTATTTTAAACGTTTAATAATATTCTTGAGTTTCTGAATTATCTATCTTTGTTTTATTAATTATGTTTTGTTTGACTTAATTGTTAATTGTTTATACTATTATTTGAGATGTTATATTGTGATTAATATATCAATTTTTATAAGAAACCAATAGACACTTAAATCAAGTGCACATTATAATGTTATGGTTTTCTTAAATTTTAAGTCAGTAACAACTGAAAATTAAGTGATTAATCCATAAATTCCTACATGATACAAACTCACTCTGTGTAACAAACAAACTAATGATTAAAATAATGAAGGTAATAACAATCATAAAAAAATAATCTTTCAAAGTTTGATGTTAGCATACTTACTAATTTGAGAGAACCAATCTCAGTTGTTTATGCATGTTCAGATATATTCTTTCTATTTAGGTATTTTAAAATAAAATATGGAATAACACCAATTTATGTTATTATAGCTTCTTTATCAAAATCAACTAAATAAGAATTGCAAATTTCAATATTTTTATATTAATAAAAGTTTACATAAAAGATTTTGTACAACCATTTAAAATTGACATATCAAACTACCCATAGAAAACATATCAGTTATTAATTGGAGTGACCTTTTTTCATCTTTACGTCGACGTCCTCCTACCAATACTTCAAACTTGGTTTTGTTTTTCTTCCCATTCTTCAAGAAACAATGGTTTATCCTTTAGACAAAAAAATATGCACATTTAAGATACTGAGCTATAAAGAGGGATGATACTACATTTAAAGCTATTTCCCAGATAAAAATTATCAATGGTGCCATTCATTACGTAATAAAGATGGGTGTCAAAAGGAAATAAAAAATTCAGAGTATTGACAACCGAATATAGCTAAGCAATGCTGGTGGGATGGAGCAAAAAGTGAGGAAGATGCTGTTCCAAAACGACCACTAGCTCTCTACCATGGGTCACTTCATCCAAAACTCTATTCCCCAGCCTTCTAGCGGCTTCAACCAGTTGTCCCCTAAGCCGTTGTGAATACAAACAGCCACCTGCCTTGACACACTCTCTATAAAGTGGGAGGTAAGCAATTGCCACCGTCAAGGGGGCAGGAAGATCTCTCAAGCAAATAGGAGACTCGCCCCATTTAATGATTCTCGCAAGGTTCATGTGATGTTCTTGCCCTAACCTTAATCCCTCCTTATAAGCTCCTTCTGACCAATGCTCCTTAAGAAAAGTCTTCAGCTCAGGTGCAACAGCCTCATCCTCTGATTTAGCAATAATATCTGCAACGGCATAAGTAGCTGCAGGATCACCTAAGAAGTCAGATTGAAGGAGAAATGCTACACCATCGAGAGATCCACCACTCCGCTCACCAGCAGCCTTTAGAATTTCAACACTAAGTGCTGCAAGGACCTGCTGAGGTACGTGCGGCAGAAGATAAGCTGCAATGTGAACTTGGCAGCTAGAAGTGGCTGCTGTAAGGGCAAGACAGAGCTCCATGTCTCGGCAACCCCTCTGCACAAACCACTCAACAACTTGCATGCAACCCCTCTCAGCAGCTCTCATCAAAGGGCCTAAAAAGGCTATAGCATTTCCCTCTTCCACCAAGCACTCCATAGTTCCTATCTTGCCATAATGGGAGGCAAAACCCAGTGCCAAGTCAACATCAACATCCAAGCTGTTTCTTTGTGCAATCTTCATAGATTGATTTCCAGCATGGCATACAAACATGAACCAACAAATTTCAGCAGACTATAATATAAAAACAGCAGTTCACTACTACACACACACACACAAGAGGAAATGGTAATGAATAAACCTCTTGCCCCCATATTCTTCCAAAATATGCTATAAAGATGCTACCAAGTTATAAAATAACACCAATGTTAAAACCAACATCTTATCTACATGATCCTTTGATATAACACCAATGTTAAAACCAACATCTTATCTACATGATCCTTTGATATGACACTAAATGCATCATAACGATAAGTATGCCTTCAGCCACCATGGAAAAAGTTCTTCTTCTAACTATCATAACAAAAGTTGGCCAACACCCACTAAACATGCTGGAGAAGCATTAATTCATAGATTGAGAAAGAAAAAGATCGTAGACACATCACCTGCAATAGTATGCGCACAAGTTCTGTACTACCAAAACGTGAAGCCTCCAGGAAACACTGATTGACATTGTCTGCACCACCCTCCACTAGCATGCCCAGCAGCCCTTGGATCACTGTAGCTGACAAGCCAAATGCCCAGCCTGGATCAAATGAGCTTGAGAAAAGAGTAAGAGGAAAACAAGCCGCATCAAAGGCCTCACTGAAGTCCTTCCCTGTAAGGCGGTTGCCAGCAAGATCAAGGAATGTCTTAAAGGCAGATAACCGAAGCTGGATTTCAACAGCTGAACTGTGTATCACATTTTCCCTATCATCCTGCAGTCGTGAATGGATGCCTATACACTTCAAAGCCCATTCAGTAAACTTTTGAACCTTAGCGCCAGCTTCTGCCTTCAATACTTCATCTCCATTACATTCCTGGAGACGCTCATGCAACCTAGCAAAAAGCAGAGTTCATGCACGAATTTCAAATACCATTAATTTAAAACCAATATTTAGGATTTTACGTTTTGCTCTAAAAAGACACATTCTCTCAACATCACCACCCTTTTCCAAACAAAAATAACACTCTTCCGAATCTAATACTTCATTGATGACTGAATTTTATCCCCTTACACAAAAAATAAAAAAAAAGTAAAACAGATGTGGGCAAGTCATACCTTTGGGCCATTACAGCAACTGTATCAGCCAGACTCATTGTTCTACTCTGGCAAGCAGAGACACATGAAGCAAGGAATGAAGTCCTTAGAGCAGCTCTTGTGAAGTCATAAGCACCATTAGCAATGATCTTCTTGATAAATCCCATTATCCCATTAAGCTCTAGCTCTGAGCTCAAGAACCAGATGGAATCCAGCGTGATACACAAGGCATCATTGAGCGTCTGGGGATCAGCAACCAAAATCAAACTTTCTGCAAGCTCCCAATCATGGGAACTCACTGCACCCTGAAACAACCGACCCAACTCAATCCTGTCTTGTCTACATAGTTTCTTCTCCAACCCAATTTTCTCATTACTTCCCAGCTCACAGTCTATTGAAACAGCCCTGGATTTGAGCTTCTTGGCATTGCAACAATAAGAAGTGGACATTCTTGATTCTTTCCTCATAAGTGGCGCTTCTCTTGAGAAAACTACGCTGCTACCTTCTCCTTTATCAGATGCAAAACCTTGATTTTCATTTCTATGGAATTCAATTTTGTTATCCTCAGATTTAATTTCCATGAATACAGGATTCTCCACTTCAGTCTCATCCATCACAAATAAAGTATTAAAACACTAGATAGACGTCATGTTCTCATCTGTCTGATCTCTGTCTTCTTCATCAACCCCGATAAGTCTAACAGGCATTCTTCAAAGCACATGAGATACTGAATAGGAGAACTCTAGCTTCTGGTTTTCAAATTCATGAAAAACAAGTACTAAATAGAAAAACAAAATTAATAATCCACAGTTTTCCAGTATAATATAACTTTTTGTCAGAAAAATTACAAGAAAAAAGTAGTTCAGTCTCGAAGTAAATCTAAATGCTATCCTTCTATGAATTTAAAAACCCTAAACACAGGCGTAAATGTTGAATACTGAAAATAAATTGTTAGTTTGCCTCCATTTCGTTTTAATGAAAACATATTATAAAGCATAACATGAGATTAGAGGAATCCAAATCTTCCGATCTTGGGCATGGACAAACGAGGGCAAACAATAGCTTCAAATGAAAATAATAGTGTCAAACCCACGGGTGTGGAACAAATAAACCCTAAACAGAATCGAAATGGTGCAAAGATATATGATGAGAGCAATAGCCAATCTTAGAGATGATTAATCAGAATTGCACATACTAGCATAAAACAATTCAAGAAAAATAGCTGTTACTGTTTTACAAGCAGTTGATTGGTATCTGTTGGTAGAAGGGACAACAAAAGAGGCAGAACAGAAAAAATTTATATGATAAACAGCAGTAGGGAGGAAAGGGATGAATTGATAGAAAACCTGACAGCTTGAGGAGAGAAATTAAAAGGGTGGAAGAAGAAAACCCGCTCCCTGACCTCACCTCATGTTATGGTTCCTGAAATGATACTTTCATTTCCAACTCCAAATATAGGTGTGCCAGTAATAATATCCTATTTTAAACTTCTCTTTTATTGTTCTCGTGATTTGTGTTCAAGATTGATACAAACAAAATCAACTATATTCTTTCTAGACAAAATAAACAGAATCCATTTTAAATTCTTAAAAAACTCAAATAATTTTAGACTTGAATACTGTCATCACAACCTCGGCCTCTCATTCATTCTCTCTAAAGCATTTTATTTACTAGATAAAATTTTTAAAAAATAGTTAAAATTCTCTTTAAAAAAATAGTTATAATCACGATGTTTAGGAATGTTAAAAAAGATGTAGTAGTTTGGGGAATTATATGTGATACAAGTATAATTTTTTAGTTTTAGGATTTTATAAGTTGGAATCATACAATTTTAAAAGGATGAAATTAAAAAATTATAATAATATAAAATTATAAAATTATATCATCTACTTACTATACAACCATAAAATCCATATAATAAAAAGTAGGTAGAGTGACCGAAACCAAACAGCCAAATCATTTAATTAATAAAAAGTGTTAAATTTTTAAAAACTCAATCCACTACAAAAATCAATAAAGGTTCAGTTTAAAATATTTAAATTTACTAGAGTCTTAAAACCTAATAAAGTCTTATTTTAATTATCAAAGAGATTTCACATTCCAATTTAAACAGGTAAAACTTGATTTAAAACAGATTGTTTAATATTACATGTGTAATAACAATATATTTATGCACACAAGTTTGGAAATGATTATATATGCAATACATTGTACTAGTATATTATTAGTTATTAATTATTAATAATTAATAAAGCCTATTGGATTATATAAGTTTTTTTTTAGTTTTGTTTAGAATTGTCAAAATGGATCACAGTCTGCAGGTTAACTTGGTTCACCAGGAGTTTGAGTCGGATTGAATTTGAAAAAATTATATTTTTTTTTATGTACGTCAGATTTCAACCCGACTCATTTAAACCCAACTCATGCGGATTGAATCCGTGGTGGGCCGAGTTGACCCACCAACCCACCTACCTAATTTTATTTTATTAAAATTTAATTTTAATTTTATAAAAAAAAATTATTATTTTGCTTTTGCTTGAAAAAATTATTTAAATTCTTTATTTTCAAAATTAATTAAATACCCAAGTGAAATTTGGAAGTGAAATTTGTGTCGATTTAAATTATAGAAAGTTTGTAACTCTTTTTTATTTTAAAAAAATTGTAATAAAGTGAACCAGTGAGCCAACCCGTTTACCTACCAACCTGTGATGGGTCGGACTAGTTCAAATTTTTCTGACTCGCTGATAAATTAACCGGATTGAGTTGACTCACGTGACCAACCCGTGGTGAGCCGGACCGGATGACCTATTTTGATAGCTCTAATTTACTCCTTGAGTAATTATTTTCTCAAATTTAAATAACTATCCATAAAATAAAATTATTTATATTATAAATAAATCACCTATATCATCTGTAAAGATTCTTTTTTAGTATATGCCAAATTTATTTTACCTTTTTATTAATTAGTTTTTGAATTAAAATGATAAATTATAATAAAAAATGTATTTATATAATATAAAAAAGTCCTTGTAATAAAATGATCTATTAAAAAAATTCTCTACATTTTTTTTCTAATTTTACCCTGTTAGTAGTTTTTTAAAATTCAAATAATTATTCACAATAAAAAATTATTTACACAATGAAAAAATAACTATAATAAAATAATAAATACATTATTTACGCAACAATAAATTTATCTATAATAAAATTATAGAAAATATTTATTTTTATAATTAGCTTTCCGTTAAAATTATTTCATAGTTTAATTATATATTTAATTTCACTGATAAAAAAATATTTTAATTTAATAAAAAATTTACAATGATGAAAAAAGAGAGTAAAATATGTAATATCTCATTTAATAATATATTGCTCGCTTATTTAATATTTAAGAACATATCATTTAAAAATATCTAATGTTATTATAACTATTAAAGTATAACTACAATATATATATATATATATATATATATATATATATATATATATATATATATAACCTTTCTATATAACTAAGAGACCCTACATGGAATAAAACAAAAAGAATAATAAAGGTCTTAAAAAAAACTAAATATGTACTTAGAACTAAATCGTTGCATCACCTTCATCTTGCACCATATTATCTGCTACCTCATGATATGTTCACACTGTTTATGGTGTTTATTGCAAAGAAAAAAACACACATAAACAAAATAATACAAAGGAAAGGGTAAACTAACATTAATAGTATTGATATTAGACTTTACTGTTTTATAAAGACATTGCTAATGAGTTTTACCTAACCACATACAAGATTAGTCTCTTAACATCTTTAACAAAGATAAAACCCCTTAAGTAGAATTGTCACCACAAAATCTCCTCATGTAGTCTTTGAAATTACGCCAAACACATCATTTGTCATCATCATCGTCGTTTCATACATCATTATTCACATACATATTTATCCACAAATCTATGAACCATTCTCACATAAACATCATAAACATCATACAAACGACTAGATAGCTCATCCAGCAAGATCATCACTAGAACTTACAAATTTAAATTTTATCAAAAGTCACCCAGTGAAACTTGTCTCACTCAACCACTGTCAAGTCAATGAGCTCTCAGACCTTAGGGATGAATATATTCTCGTCCAGCAACCACCGTGTCAGTAACTCTCTGACTTTGACTTCACTTAACGAGTATGCTCTTGCTTGGAGACAACCAAGTCAACAATTCTCTGACTTTGCGTTCACCAACAAGCATATCCTTGTCCAACGAGTTTGCATAATTTTGTAGAACATGATTATGCAAATTTATGTCATTCTAGCCATGCCAAACAGTTCAACAACTATTAAAGGTGCACAAACATACCAAAATTCAAATTACAATGCCTTCATTAATTCAAACAACATCATCTACAATACCAATCAAGCAAAATTTTCAATTTCATCAAGTAAGCCAATTTAAAAACTTATTTTCAATTCAACACCTCATACTCGATCACATAACTCAATCATAAGCATACAATTAACAATTACAAGATATCAATCACATAAAAATTATACAATTAACTTCTCTTACCTGAAAGACATATGCAAATGCTTTAAGAAATCTTAAATTCCTTCAAATTCACATAATATCCTATTTATACCTAGGAACAATACAAAAAAGATTTGGACACATTATTAAAATCACTTATCAGTAGAGACTCGTATATAAGACTCAAACACTACATATGAACTAATATGATTCAACGCACAAGAAGAACATACATACCAAGAAAAGGAACATAAAATCATCTTACCTTATTGGAGAAATTGATCACACATAAATGGAGATCTCAATGCAAATATCACTTGAGAGATTTCTAATATTCAATCAGATGAACGGAATGTGAAAAAATCTAAAAAGAAAGAAGAGAGCTCCAGAAAAAGATTTTTAAACAATAAAACTTGTTTATAAAAACTTTACTTATATTTTAAATTTTTAATATTAAAATAATTAAAGCTCTTTTTTAAATACATTATCAATTGTAAAATACAATATTCATATAAAATAAATACCATATTTATTACTTATTTATTTCAAACAAATTGTGCATATTTGCACGGTTAAAAAAAAATTAAAAGAGACATTTATGTCAGAAAAAATTAGCTGTAAAGGATGTCATGCCTAATAGATAAAATGAAGTCATTAAATTCTAAACATGTTAAATTCTTTAATTTTTATTTCAAGAAATAATATAAAAGCATGTTAAAGGTATCTTTATGAAACCATGATATGGGATCGAACTTGCCTCTAAGATGGCATAACACAACTAAATTACTACTGATAAATATTTCTCAATATACGAAATATAAGGTGTTTTTGAATTTGTGTTGAACTTTGAGTTGAAGGAAAAAGTTTAGTTGACATCACTTAATTATCATTTGACAATTTTCACAGGATAAAATGATTTCAATAAAAAATAATTTTTGTATTTTATAAAAAAATAAATAGAGAGTAAAAAATATTAAATCATAGTTCAAAGTACTAGAGTTTGAGCGGAACATGTGAAAATATCAAACAATGAGAAAATATCAAACATGTGAAAATATCAAACAGGGTGAAAATTAATAAATGGATATAAAAAAAACTATGGTGCCAAAGTACTAGAGTTTGAGCGGAACATGTGAAAATATCAAACAATGTTATCACCTATATTCATATCATATATGATTCTTCCACATATTATTCACAGCAATTTATCTTGGGAATTCTTTTTCTCAAAATTTACATTAAAAGTAACACATAATAAAATGGACGAATGAATTTAACTTTTAAATTAAATATAAAGTATGTTTGGATGACAGCTATATTTAGAGTTTTCAAAATGTTTCAAATTTCTTTAATTTTGTATTAAAAAATTATGAATTAGAAACTAGAAGTAAACCAATTAAGTCACCACTTGTAAATCAATTTTGTAGAATTAAATTAAGTTTAAAGTTTATTTCTCAACAGGTATTAAAGTCTTAAGTTAAAATTTATCTTAATTAAATTTGATATTTGTGGATCCATTCTTCCACTTACCATCAAACTCTTATCTTAATATTTAATATCTTAAATGAAAAATCTACTCTTAAAGACCATTAAAGATTTATTAATTAATTATTTACTAAATACGATAAATGTAATTTTTTTAAAATAGGAAGTGTTGTTAATAAAAGATAATATTTCATTGAATATATATGATAAAAAAGATTATTTTCTTTGAGTTAGTTAATTTTAAAGATCAGGTATGATTATTTAACACTCACATTAATATCAACTTTAGAATAATGACAATAAATGAATGAAGAAAATTTGAGGACATTCCTTTTTAAAGATGTATATGTATATTTTTTTTTACCTCTATCAATGAAACTCAAGAATGTGACACTTTGTCCCCACTCTTTAGCTTAATCTACGCTTCATGCACAACCACCGATTCACCTTTTTGAATCATGGAACATCTCT